GTACTTGTGTGACGTAAATTCACACTGAAGACTGAATGCGTGAAAACCATACTTAAAGACCACAAAAATTAAATGTATGGTCAGATATAGTAGTTACTTATTCAATTGGGTCATTTTTTGTCGAAAGAAATTTAACGTCAGATAGTTGGTGTAAATGTTCGGCGATATTTAGATGAGATATTTCCTGGACGATAAATTGGTAGACAAGGTGGAATTGAATGGCCTCCACGTTCACCAGATTTCAATCCTAAAGATTATTTTTATTAGGGATACTTGAAAAATTCAGTTTACAAAACTTAACCAGCAAGTCTTGCAGAGCTAAGGCAACGAATTATCAATGAATCTCGAATAATTTCTAGACAATCATGGAGAAATGTGGTAGACGCCTTCTACCATCGATTAGGGTGCTGTCAACTCACAAATTGAGCACATTTTGAACACTTAATAACGTAACTACTATGTTAAAAAATGTTCTAAACTATCAATTGTTACGTTTTAATGTATTTGAAAATAGTTAGTATTAAAAAATTTATTGAAACAATTTAGGCGTTGCCAGACTTCGGTTTTATGTATTTATGACCTTCCAGATTACATAAAATCATAAGTGTTAACTCGTATTGAACTCGGTTGAACTCGTATTGAATAGGAGATTCCAATAATGATTGAATATACAGGGTGATGTATTTGAAAAACTAAAGTTACTAATAATATAAGAAAAACTGCAAATCTGGCAACATTGTAAATATCAAATATGGAATCTCCGTATCCCAAAATAGGTGTACCTTTTGTACAATTATGATTAGCATTTTACGAGATAATTAGCCGTTTCCAGACTTTTGGGCCACTCTGTATATATATAAACATATATATATATATATATATATATATATATATATATATATATATATATATATATATATATATATATATATATATATTATATGTGTGTATGTATATGGGGTGGCCCATCCTATACGCCTCCGTCTATGGTCGGAAAACGACTTAATATCCAAAGTTTTTTTCATAGAAATATACAGGACCATTAACACTGCAATTTAAAAATAGTGTGAATTATACATATAGTGCTACAAAAAAGTGTGTTATATCAAAGTAATATTTTTCTTATGAAACGCCCTATATTTGATAACATATTTGAATTGTCCTTAAAAAGTAAGCTATACTTGTATAAGGGTTCTCTATACCTAAATACAGGGTGTTTTGATTTATTTCGATTTTTATAAAAACGTAAGGTTTTAGATAAAATTAAATATCTACGAATATAAAAATCAGAGACTAATTTTTTCTTAGGCCTTAATAATAATAGACTATTTGGACGTAGTTATGCAAGAAGGGCTCTACTCCAAAAAGTGTGATTTTCGTTTTCATTTTCGCAAAGCTATCTATTGTAAATTATAGGTACAACTTACAACCTTACTGAAAGTTGTACCGTGTTTGAGAGAGATAGTATTTTTATTGTTGATACTTAAACTAACATAATATAATAACAGCTTTGGTATTCCCAAAAAATGGTGATTACTTTCTTATTGCGTATTATACATATTAATTAATTACATTTCACACTAGAGAAATAAAAACACAAACTTCTTTAGATTATATTTTTATTGTAATTATTTGACAATAATAATACGAAAAACTAAGTAAAAAATAATGGCAAATCTAATATTATTTTATAGCTTAAAAATAAAAAATAAACTGAACTAAAATAATAAAATTTTAAAATAATAATTATGACAATACTATAGTGTATTTTTATGTATGAGAGAGTAATAAAACAATAAATTATGTATGCAAATCCCTAAACTGTTGATACGGGTGACTCAATGAAAAACAGATATTTGTCAACAAGTTTACAGAAGTATATAGGAAAACAATTTTAAATTGAGTATGACCACCAGGTATAAAGGTTGGAGCAGAATAGAATACAATAGTTGTGAGGGTTACTAATCCCTAAATAAGGTTGCCAGTGTCAGAGTGATGGAGGTTAACAGGTACTAATGAATTTGCAAGAAATGTAAGATGTTTATTTTATTGGTTATATATAACCAATAAAATTTTAATAAGTACCTACCTATTTGCAAAATAAAGTTTAATTCTTTAGATAAAATAAAACGTTTTATTTTATCTGAAATGAGTGCATTTCACGAAGTAAGGGTTTCAACAATCAAACATTTAATTCTTTAATTCCAGGAATCTACGACAGTAATTGACTACAAAATTACCTTCTAAACTTATTCCACAGAAAATGTGATACTAGGTTTTTCCATTTTGTAGGAAGGTCCAAGTGGCGTATTCAAAATTCTTAACAGTTCACTAAAAGTAGGTACTTCAGTTGCAAGGTGCAGTTTATTGTGTATACTAGTGTTATGGAAAATTTGGAAGTGCCGTGTAAACGCCGAAAAATTGGTCCTTTAACAGTTAATGAAAAAACATTAATATTTAATTGTTTTAAATCATTTACAGACAAACGTTTATGTGAAAGTGTTGATGAGACCGTTGAGTTAGTTAGCAGTACACTTGGTGTTGGGAAATCTACGATTTACAGAGTTATTAAAGAAGAGAAATGTGGTAGTTTTCAAATGCCACGTAATGCTCCAGGGAAACCAAAATTTCAAATAAAATATCATTTTAAAGAAGGACTTCGACGGAAAGTGCATGAATTCTTCTTTAGACAAGAATTTCCAACGTTGGATAAAGTTCTTGTCTCAGTTCGAGATGATAAGGATTACCCAGAAACGAGTCGAAGTACGTTATGGAAACTTTTAAAAGAAATAGGCTTCCTTTGGAAAAAGAATCCCAGAAAGTCTATTTTATTAGAAAGAAGCGATATTGTCATATGGAGAAGACATTTTCTAAGAACCGTAAAGGAAATGAGAAACCAAAAAAGAAAAATATTTTATCTTGATGAAACATGGATCAACGAGGGTCATACACCAAATAAATTTTGGCAGGATAAAACTGTTACAAGTCAAAGGCACGCTTTTGTAAATAACTTATCTACTGGTTTAAACCCACCATCAGGAAAGGGACGCAGGCTGATAATAGTACACATTGGCAGTTCACACGGTTTTGTTGAAGGTGGTTTATTAACTTTTGAATCAACTCGTACCGGTGACTACCATGAAGACATGAACGCTGATGTCTTTCAAGAATGGTTCGAACAAATGATAGATCTTCTTCCTAAGAACTGTGTAATAGTAATGGATAATGCAAGTTATCACTCCAGACTTATAGAAGGACTGCCCACAACCAAGTGGTTAAAAAAAGACTTACAGAATTGGCTGAGTTCAAAAAATATTACGTACCATCCGGATCTATAAGAAAGGAACTTTATTCGTTGTGTGCCCTTCATAAAGAAAAATTTAAAAAATACGAAATTGATGAAATTGCCAAAAATCGTGGAATGACAGTACTTAGATCCCCACCAATTGTGAATTAAACCCGATTGAACTGGTATGGGCACAGATAAAGAGTGAAGTTTCAAGAAAAAATACCACTTTTAAAATTCATGATGTTAAACAGTTGTTTTTGGAGGCCGTAAATAATGTAAAACCTGAAAACTGGGAAAAAAGGCAGTAAATCACACTATTAAAGAAGAGGAAAAAATGTGGAAGCTGGACAATATTACTGATAAAATGATCGAGCCAGTTATTATAAATCTTGGTTCTGAAAGTTCATCTTCTGAATCTGATTTGGATTTGTAACAAGTAGCTGTAAGTTTTATATTAATATTTTTATTCATCTATTTAACATACCTTAGACGGTTTTAAAAACTCTTTTTCTCTTTTGTAATTTTTAAAAATTAAAAAAAATGTGAATTTTTTAAAACCCTTTTTAATGTAGGCCAGTCAGTTCTAATATAGTGTGTGATAAAAGAGGTCACTTTTGTTTACATACACATAACACTTTATAACACTGAAATAATTTATTTATTTTTTACAATTATTCAAAGTAATTTTTCAATTAATCTTGAGCACGTTCATGGAGTGGTCGAAGGTACCAGTTAAAATTATGCTAATTACTCTCTCGTTCATAAAAATAAACTATAGTATAATGGAAAACATCAGGATGTTTTTGTTCAATTTTAATATATGTAATGGAATAGTATTTTAATAAAGAAATAATATAGTTTTATTTCTCTAAATCTTACCTCAATTGATTACGTTCTCTGAAATTTCGAAAGTTTTAGTACACAACAACTGCAGCACGTTTTTACGTCTGCTGAAAATTTTTGAAAAGTGGATTTATGCAGTTTTGTAAAAAAGTTCCTAATATACATTCTTGAAAATGATCATTTTTGCGCTTTGTGTAACTTTAAACAACATTAACTCAAAAACTATTAGCTATAAAGTTACTATGGACTTTTTTTGATCACAATGAGTTAAGACCTTTAAAAAATTCTCAAAATCTCAAAAATTGTCCTGGCCAAAAAAGTTATCATTTATTTAAAAAATTATCAAAACAAATTCTGATCACTTTTTGCATGGGTGACATCTTGATCCTTCTTCTGGTATATCATGGTAATAATCTTCCCAACAAAGCTGAAGTTTTCACGTTGTCGAATTTAGAGAAACGTGTTCTAGTGACCGAAATTTACGGAAACACTAAGCAATGTAGAAGATAATATTTATGTTTTTAGACTCCCTATGACACAAGGACATCGTAAAATGAATTTATTGTACTTACTTGTAATTGGACTTTTAATATTTTAATTGCAATAAGTATTTGTACTTGGTAATTGTAATTAAATAATTTAAATATTTAAATAATACATTTATTTTTCAATAAAATTTAATTCCTACAAAGATTTTACTGTAAAGATATTCATATATTTTCCATAATATTTCACACAAGTTCATCCAGTACCTTGACTTACCCGTCAGCATTCGCTTCCTCAAACTGTTGTTTCCTCTTATTCATTTTACAATATCGTCTTGTTTTCTAAATACCCCTAAATACTAACGTTAAGGTTTATATTTCAGGAGTGATGTTAAATAACCACAGTCCACCTTCCAGTACACCCTTGGAGCCTTGCAGAGTAATACCGTATATGAACGTGCCAGCTTTAAGAGGAATCTCGTTGACTTCTAGTTCTGTAGCACTTACCAACTACGACAGGCTCGCCACTACGCCTTTCTCCCAACAAGGAACGGCATTCTCCGCTATCAATTCAGCTTTTATATCTGCAGCACACCAGGTAAACATACAGGTTTATCCAATAAAGAGTAAAATTTTACCAATAAAAATGTAATGAAGTAATGTTTTCTTCTGTTGTTGGCGGTATGACCTTGTAATGAATGAATTTTGAATCTACTCTAATTTGCAAGGTTTTATGATGATCTTTTTCCTTGGTGTGCAATTCTTTTTTCAAATGTCGGATTCAAACAAGTCTAGATATGTTTCATTCTACAACTCCTTTACTTTAACCTTAATAATTTTTTGAAATTGTCACTTGATCTAGCTGCTCTTCTTTTTTATAAGTAGGTACATATAACTATATTATTATACATAATAATATTATTACCTTTATTTTATTTCATTCTTATATTATAATGCGCCAGCTCAATCACTTTTCTCCATTTTTTCTTTTCTTTCGACCTTAACGTCCATAAGTTTTAACAGAAATTTGATTCGGACTTCCTTTCAGACATTTTTCGTTTTATAATATGGTCATATATACAGTATGGTGGAAATGAAAGGAATAAATTCGTTATTTCGTAAATCGGAGACTTTAAGGAAAAATCCTGAAAGCCTTCGATTTTTATTTTTAAATAAGCTATTCGTAAGAATACATTTTTATTTTTGACGTCATCTATGTGAGCGTGATGACGTCATTGCTAAAATTTTTGAATAGAAAGGGGGGTATTGTAATACATCATTTGAAAGGTCTTTTAAATACCTATTCAGCTATATCAATATGTCTAAGTAATTAAAGTTTGTAATTGTTTAAAAAAATAATTAAATTTTTATTATTACAATAAATATTTATTAAGTATTATTCAATAAATACAACGAAACCTAAATTAAGTGCTCAAACTGGTTACCTTCAGTTAAAATACAATGAGAAAGGCGTGCCGCGAACTCTTCTCTAACTTTCGTTATGAGTTATTTGAACAACCTCATTACGTATTCTTTCTTTCAGTTCATTAATATTTTGTGGTCTATTTTGATACACCTTACTTTTTAAATATCCCCATAAAAAGAAATCAAGAGGAGTCAAATCAAGTGACCTAGGCGGCCATTCTATTGTTCCTCTTCGACCTATCCACCTATTTGGAAAGACGTTGTTTAAGTAGTTGCGTACCAAGACAGCATAGTGTGGAGGCGCACCATCTTGCTGTAGCCAGAAATCATTTCTGTTTGGAAAAAACCGGTTCAATTCTGGAAGCAAGAAATTTTGAAGAAATTCTAAATATCGAAAACCTGTTAAGTTTTCTTCGTAAAAGTATGGTCCAATACACCTATTATCTATTATTCTCACCCAAACATTAATTTTCTCTGGGTATTTAGTACGGTACTCTTACATCCAGTGTGGATTTTCCGTAGCCCAGTACCGATAAGTTTGACGATTGACATAATCGTTTAGTAGAAATGTAGCTCCATCAGAGAAAATAATATTTTTTAAAAACATCGGATCTCTGTTATTGCGTTCCATTATAATGTTACAAAATTCAATTCGTCTATCAAAATCATCTTCCATAAGTTCTTGTACTAAACTTACTTTGTAGGGATGCCACTTTTCCTTTTTTAGCTGTTTAAGAACTGTTGACTGGTCCATGTCATTATCTAATACTACTTGCCGTGAACTGTTATGAGGATTATCTTGAAAAGCTAACAGAACGTCTACTTGTTGGTTTTTAGATATTGGTTTTCTACTACCTTTAGGAAGGTCTTTAACATGACCCGTTTCTCTAAATTTTTTCTCAATTTTGCTTACAGTGGATTGTGAAATTGGTTCTTGACGGGGGTATTTATTATTAAATAACGCACATACTTCTTTCTGCGTACGTGTTTTATCTCCATAACCAATCATTATGAGAATTTCAATTCTTTGCGTTTCAGTTAGCTTCATGTTCAAAGATACAAAGACTTTTTGAATACGTTTACTACAATAATACTATTAATTACTTGACAGAAAGATAATTAAGTTTGAATGTCCAACTATCAATGTTCATATTGATAAGGTAACTAGTCTTTTTAAAAAGGTAAAAAGTAGATAAAAAAGACATTTCATTACTTGTGATGGCCTTTATAAAATTTATTTTTGGGTGTCAATAATATATCATATCAATACTTAATAAATATTTATTGTAATAATAAATATTTAATAATTTTTTTAAGCAATTACAAAACATCAAATACTCAGACATGTTGATATGGCTGAATAGGTATTTAAAAGACCTTTCAAATGATGTATTACAATACCAACCTTTCTATTTAAAAATTTTAGCAATGACGTCTTCACGCTCATATAGATGACGTCAAAAATAAAAATCTATTCTTACGAATAGCTTATTTAAAAATAAAAATCGACAAGTTTCAGGATCTCCGGTTTACGAAATAACGAATTTATTCCTTTCATTTCAAAACTATACATATACAAACAGGTATAGTTTTGGTAAGAAATATAGTAGAATGCAAATTTTGATCGGTCAGCTTTAATATATAGTGCGGCGGCTGGTTATTCTAGTAATTAAATATATAATTAAATTATTTATTTCTTACTTACGTATATACCATTAAAGCAGGACATATCGTTTGTACTAAAATTAATTTTGACCATTTTTTATTTACATTTCACCGTGGAGGCCTCCATACTCATTACTGTTTGTTCATATTAAAAATATAAAATCTTATACATATCAAATATGTACAAAACATCAATTAAAATTATGTTGTAGATATTCATGAATTGTATAAAAGGATTTTTTTTATCAATATTGTTTTAATTTTATTTTCAAATTCCTTTTCAGGAAAGATTCTGATATTCTCAGGCAGAATATTAAAACATTTTATTGCCCAATACCCTGGTCCATTTTGACACCTTCTCAAATGCCAATATGCTGATATTACATTCTACTTGTGTCTAGAATCCTAACCATGCTGATCTTCGTGACTTATAAAGATTGATATTCATCTTCATGAATCGAAGGTTTTCTAGAATGTACTGTGCCGTTACTGTAAAAATTCCAAATCTTTTATGAGCCTAATTGACCATCATTAAATAATAAAAACTATTTCAGATGTGAGTATTGTAACTATTTCAGATGTGAGTAACTTCCCATATACTGGTATTATGGACTCACATTGGCAATATTTTCATCATTTGAAGACTCTTATTTTGTTTTTTGCACGAGTTATTAATATGTGGGCTTCACTGTAATTTTGGGTCCAAAAGAACTCCTTAAAATCCAATATCGCCGACTCCAGCATTCATATCACCCACATCTCGCCTTTTGAAAATCACTTGGTGCCGTGCCATCATAGAACTCTCCACCACATCTTCAATATTATCAGTTGCAAAGTTCTATGTTTGGAAGATCGTTTATATAAATCAAAAATAAAATTGGGCCAGGTATTAAACCCAGGGACATTCAATATTTAACACACTCTCTGACGATAACCGAGTAACCGAGGAGTTAAAAGGACCGAGTTAAATTGAAGCTTATAAAGTGACTCTCTAATAGACAAAACTAACATTCAGAAAAAATACCATTGACCCCAAACAAATCTACTATTTGTAGTTATATGCACTTTCCTACAATTTTCTAAATAATTGGCAGCAGTGAGACTTATTGAGTACCCTTTTTTGAAGATTGGACAAATTATTGATTTTTTAAGGACATATGGGAAAATATGCTCTTTGATGCAGAATTAATTAGCTTAGGAAGCGGAATTATTATATTTTTTTTGTTTTGATCAACTTTACATTCATGTGTGTAAACTATCGTATTGAAAGTGATTTCTGAGAAAGAAAATTGATTTAATAAATTTATTTGAGTTGTATCTATTTGATTCAGATTGGAAACTGGGATATCTTTGATCAAGTTGGATGCTATTTGTGAAAAGTATTCATTAAAGATATTTGGACTAATATTAGGAGGTTGGCTAGTATTTTTCTTAACATCACGATGTTCATTTATAATTTCCACATATACTTTATTGAATTACTGGAATTCCTGATGAGGTTGTCATTTGCCATGATTTTTGCATTCGGTATTGCAAGTTTGTATTGCATTTTAAAAATCTTTATATGTCCTCTCAATGTCTGGTGTCCGTTACTGTTTTTAAACTGTTCCAAAAAGTGTACTTGATCACGCATAACTTTTAAGTCATAGTTAAACCAATCAATTTGATTAGTTTCATTGGCCCTTACCTTATACCTCTCCTCCGGGAGAGATTGAAAATAAGCTTCTTCCAGAACATTCATAAATCTGTTAAACTTCTCATTGTATCCATTAAGAATCTCTCAAATTCACAAAGTCCCAATTTATTTCAGATATTCTATTATAAACCAGAAATAGACCTCTCTGAGTAATTTGCCTGAATAAAATTTTTTCTTCCTGATACTTATCAACTTAATGCAATGGAAAACCAACCTGTTATACTTTGTAGTCAGAGAAACCCAGTTCATATACTCCTGCCATCTCGCACTGTATCTCAGAATCCAGGAAAATGTTTTCTTCTCGAGTCAGCTCAAAAATTGCTTAATTTAAATTGTACATACTTTAACCTCCTAGTACATCTCAGACAATGGGTCTCCCCATACCAACACTATTCAAAACAATTGAATTTCAGCAAAAGACACTCGCTTCCCAGTTAAAATGCTTCGAACAGGAATTCGGTCAGTTCTAAAAAAAGAGGTGATCAAAAGTCGCCACAGTTAAAGCGTTTTACAATATATGTTACTGCGACTATAACCAAAATGTATTGCCTAGGGTATTTTCCAAAGGCAATTTCAAAGTGGAGGTAGTAATTTGCTAGTACAACTCGTATAGGCTTGGTAGTTTAGAATCATCGAGATAAGTCTCGTATATCTAGGTATTCTCAATAATATAGATATATACAGAGGATCACTCTCTCCAAAAGTACAGCACTTTCAGAAAAAAGTTATCATATGCCTAATATTAATAGCTTTATCTCAGAGGTCTGGTAAAAATGTATTATATCCATTGTAAAGTCCATACTATGTACATTTTAGCAATATTTTTGCATATAAATGTTATGTATATTCATGCAAGAGAATGCACGTTTAAAATATCTGTGTTCAGCTTTCTTGTACATGAGTGTAAACATCTGGAAAGAATTGTAAAAATATTATCGATACATTATCTTCTTGCCAGCATAGTTATTCAATGTATTTTTTATGCTGATAATACAATTTATCTCTTATATTTTCCAATGATATATACTACATTCATATTTGGAACATTTATTAAAAGTTTAAAAATGTATACAAAAGGTATTATTCTGTTTTCATTAATTCTATTAATTATATGATAAAGCCCTAATTTTCCATAGAATATTACATAAATATATACACAAAGACACATTGTCTTAATAAACAGTCGGCTTGAAAGATATATTTAGTCAAGCTGATCAGTTTTTAACTGTAATTATATTGAAACTGTATTTTTAGTACGCAGCTGCAGCCGTAGCTGTAGGAAGTGGTTCGGCAGCAGCTGCGGCCGCAAGTATTCTGTGCCATCCGCAATACCCCCTAGAATTTGCTGCTTTGGCGGTAGCCCACAAAAACTCCAGCATCGCAGATTTAAGGCTAAAAGCGAAAAAACATACGGAAGCCTTAGGATTGTCAGCGAGAGATAAACCTCTATAATTACAGTATATACCTATTTTGTGTAAAAATATTTTTCAACTCAAGTTTTTTGTTATATTTCGGTGTACAGAACGTAGATATGTTCAAATATATTTTGTTAAACTGATGCTTAAATAAAATTTATTCAATTATCACAATAAACAATAAAAAATATGTAGAATTTAAAAGTATAAATTAAAGATCATCTGATCTTCTTATGGTGTCTCCTCCATTACTGGATATTGGTGAATCCATTAGTGAACAACTCTTAGTTTTTATTCTAAGTTTTATGTTTGTCAATACGTAGCATCATTTTTTTTCTTCTTCAAAGTTATTCTCCAAGTCCAAAACTCCACTAAGCTCGTTAGAGCACACTAATGTTGTCTATCAGATCCCCTGTTCTGAATGCAATTCCTGCTACATTGGCCAGACCAGTCGTTCACTTCTAGGGCGTATAACTTCACATAAAAGCGACAGTGGACTTTCCAAACCCTCTTGTGCCCTTGCACAACACGCCATTTCCACCAAACATCACATTGACATCTCAAATACTAAAATACTGGCGAAACAAAATAACCATCAAAAACGCTCCTTTATTGAAATGTGTGAGATCCTAAAAAAACCCATCTGCAATAAACAAAAGAACTGACATCGACAATTTGAGCCAGGTTTACCACTCTCTCATCTTACGAAATAAATCATACCAATATTCATCATTTAAAATAGCCTTATTTTCCATTCAAAATAGTAATATAATCATCCCAGATCTCTAAGTTTCATTAAAACATAAATTACAAAAAAAATCATATCAAATTTTTCCGTCATACAAATCCACCCGTCCAACTAATCTTTCAATGACCCCTGTAGAAGTTCATAATTGTCTCAAACCTTGGAATTTGTTGAACATATGGCCCTTTAAAAATTTTCGGTATCGCGTCACGTCGTTTTGCATAGATTGCAATAAATCAGTGTTTTGTTTGTCTTCATTGGAGAACCATCTCTAAATAAAGCCAAATGTACGTTTAAAATTTTTGTAAATCTTCGTTTCTGCGAATGATATTTTTTGCAAAGTTTTTGTGTTCTTTGTTTCTGTTTAATTTTTTTTTAAGTTAGTTCTAAATTAATGAGTAAACTTAAGTACATATACAATATACAATAACATCTTTAATACTACATATTGAGTTGTAAGTAATAAATTATTAGATCTGTATTTCTTATAAACTCTATCTTTGTATTTTAGAGAACTGATGAAGCTTTAGAAGTATAAAGCGAAACGTCTTCTATAAACTTATGAAGTAGTTGACTTCTGTTTTTTATTTTGCCAACCTGAATGACCGAATAAACCTCTGAATTCACTAGTTGAATACTTTATTAATATAAATTGACGGTCGTAGTTTTATTATATATATATATAGCGAACACAGCATGCGCATTGTATTCGAAGGATGACAAGGAAGAATATCAACCGGAGGCCGAAAAATCAGCAATCTCCGTTATGCTGACGACGCATACCGGAAATTCAAGAAATTCAAAAAATGACCTTGAATACATCATGAACAGACTAGATACTAGATATTAGTCGTGGATATGGACTTAAAATTAATGTACAGAATACCAAGGTATTGATAATCGATCGGATTAGAAATAACCAGCCGGAAATACGAAACGTAGCGGGGTTTGAAGTGGTAAGCCGTTTCAATTACTTAGGTTCTGTTATCACAAACAATGGTGAATGCGAAGAAGAGATACGTCGACGCCTTACAATGGCCAGATCAGCAACAGTCAAACTTACTAAAATCTGGAAAGATACGGACATAACGAGGAACACGAAACTGCCTAGTACGGACGCTTATCTTTCCTATTGCTACCTATGCGTCAGAAACTTGGACCGTTAAAAAGTCCGACTCACGACTTATAATGACCTTTGAAATGTACACTACCGACTTCTACATTTTATTCTACAAGGCAAGATTGAGAGTAAAAGAGGCCCTGAACGTAGACGTATATCCTGGCTGGCCAATCTTGGCCAATGAATTGGACTGCGTCAACTGATTTATTTCGAGCTGCTGTGAATACAATAAGATGGGTCAATGTGGGCACCTACATCTCTAGAAGACAGACACATTTAGAAGAAGATATTTACGATGAATGTTCATATTTTAAGGTTAAGTTATGGTTTGTTTAAAACTTTAATTATTTTTTGTTGTATTTCAAGGTATTTTAATGTTGTTTTTATCCGACTTATTACAAAATTAATGAGTAAATCATTGAATTTACTTACGAAGTTAAAGAATATTTAAATTAATGTTTTAATTCTTTTTAAGTGCTAGTGATTTTATCCCCTAAAAGACTAAATATATTCGTTTTCTCGTAGTTTAAATAGTTAATAATAGTTTTGTTTTCATTGCTGAAAAATTCAGTAATACTGGATATCTTCAACACATGTTTACTATCCATTATATGCCCAAATCTAAAAAATAAACTCAAAATATATTACAACATTCAAAGAATTTTTTTAAACACTCATTATGGCAATGTGATAGAAATGTTTCTACAGAATTTTATATTCCAACTAAAATTACCAGAAAACAAATTTCTTTAGTATTTAACAGGATAAAATCGCTGGCAACGAAAAAAAATAAAACATTAATTTAAATCTTTTTCAACTTCGCACAGAATGTATGTCCATAACCAAAAGTTCTTATTTTATTCTTCAAATAATTAAAACAACCAATATTTTCAACATCTTATGGGGCAAATACACACAAATTAGAAATGTTTGGAAAGGTTTTTAAAACCTCCGCCCATTGTGACCTCAGACTTAGGTAGTCCATTGATTGCAACCAACTAGACTATAATAAAAAATATACGCATACTTTTGATTAGTAGGAGTTTTGATAGCAAGTTAGCGAGATTGCAAGTTTAGTTTGTAATACTCCATATTGAGTGTGCCTGCCACACATGAAAAAAATGTGCATAGATATGTAAAGGCCCGTTTTCACACTACGTCTTATTGTACGTTTTGTCTTCTTCTTCTTCAGATGCAAATCCACTAATGGATGTTAGCGATCACATTTTTCATTAATTCTCTATTTCTTGCAATATGTATCAGAGATTGTATGTCGTTAATCCCTGTCCATTGCCTTATGTTTCGGAGCCAGAACATTTTCTTGCGTCCCATTCCTCTCTTGCCTTCAATTTTACCCTCGATTATAAGTTGGAGGAACTGGTATTTTTCATTTCGCATGATGTGACCTAGATACGCCGTTTTCCTTTTCTTGATGGTTTCAAAAAGTTGGCGTTCTTGGTTTATTCTTTTAAGGACATCTATATTTGTGATTTTCGCTGTCCATGGTATTTTTAGGATACGGCGATAAAGCCACATTTCGAAAGCTTCCAATCTGTTTATATCCCTCGTTTTGAGTGTCCAGCCCTCTAAGCCATATAGCAGCACTGACCATACGTAACACTTAGTAAACCTTAGTCTCAGTTGAAGATCGAACTCTGAACAAGTCAGTACCTTCTTGAATTTTACGAAAGCTTGTCGAGCTTGCTCAATGCGACATTTTACTTCCCTGTCCGATGCCCAGTCTTCAAAAAGCCACGATCCCAGGTATTTAAATTTACTCACTCTTTCTATGGATTTACTATTCAGTGTTATGGTGGAGTTTTCAAGTGCATCCAAGTTTCTGGAGATGATCATGAATTTGGTCTTTTTGGTATTAATCTCTAGTCCCATTCGCTCACTGTATTCTCCGATTATAGTGACAAGTTGTTGAAGATCGACTATGTTGTCACAAATTAAGACACCATCATCAGCATATCGTATGTTGTTGATCAATACTCCATTCACCTTGATTCCCATCTCTGCATCCTCCAAAGACTCTTGAAATATGGCTTCCGAATAAATGTTAAATAAAAGAGGGGAAAGCACACATCCCTGTCGAACGCCTCTTCTTATATGTATGGGCTTGGATATATAATTGTCTATTTTTAGCTGTGCCGTTTGATGCCAGTACAAGTTTTCAATGCATCTTATGTCTTTTTGGTCTATATCAACTTTCTTGAGAATCTGCATTAACTTGTGGTGTTGGACACGATCAAACGCTTTTTGGTAATCTAAAAAGCATAGGAACACGTTTTGTACGTTTTGTGGGTCATATAAAACGTACGACAAAATGTACGTTTTGTCCAGTGTATACACACCATGTTTTTCCTTCCGTTTGGATTTCATCTCGATTCGACAAGAAGTACGTTTTGCTGTGTACATGCAACGTTTTATTGTATAGGATTTGTCCTATCCAACAAAACGTACAATAAGACGTAGCGTGAAAACGGGCCTTAAGTCTAACTCTCAAATTTGTCTTCGGTATCCGTTAACATGCTTTATTCTAGTATTGTTTTTCAACAGGGCAGTTTCAGACATTTATAAAATTGTTTTAACACAAATTTGTTCACAGTCGATTTACTCACTACAAATTTTAAAAATGCAAACATTTATTTTTCATCATTTTAAGTAAATCTTTTAAACCTGAAGACAGTTGAAGAGATTCAAAACGGCTACAGGAAAAAAACTTATTACAAAGTACTGTTACAGGGCTTCTGTTTACTACAGAGGACATAGTTTTAGAGCAATTTTTAGGTTTATAATAATTTTCATTTTTACTTTATACACTCACCGGCAAAATTAACGGAACACCTTAAAATTGGGACATGTTAGATGTCTCGAATTTCCTAAACCTGTTGTCCGATTTTAGTGATTTTTTTAATATGTTATAGGTATATTATTTAAGAATATCGATGTAATAATATTGTTGCTAGACAGGTCAATGTCATTTTATACCGGGTGTAACAATCCTACTGTGTTTTTCCTTAAAGTTCGGAACACCCTGTGGAATATTCTAGCATATATAAAATATTGAAATTAAAACTTAATTATAGCCTTAGGCTTTCTTAACATTTTCTTTTTTGATTCATTTGCTTATGTTTGATAATAAAAAAGTTAGGTACGTTAACAACTA